GAAAGAAAGAAAGAAAGAAAGAAAGAAAGAAAGAAAGAAAGAAAGAAAGAGAAAGAAACTACCTCCATGAGATCAGCTGTAGACAAATCTTTAGGGCATTTTCTTAATTAGTTATTGATGTGGGCAGGCCCAGCTCATGTAGGTGGGGCCACCCCTTCGCTGGTGCTCCTGGGTTCTATAAGAAAGCAGCTGAGGTACTGGAGAGATGACTCAGGAGTTAAGAGCACTGGCTAATCCTCCAGAGGACCTGGGTTCAATTCCCAGTACCCACAAGGCAGTTCAAACTGTCTGTAATTCCAGTTCCAGGGGATTCGTGGCACTAGGCATTGCATGTGACCCATAAATTATGTAATCTGCAGATGCATCCAGGCAAAATACCCATACACAAAAATTAAGTAAATAAATCTTTAAAGAAGAAAAAAAAAAACAGCTGAGCAAACCAGCCATACCTATTCAAACCACCATACCACCCCTCTGGTTTACCTAGTGCTTATTTCCATGAGGTTTTCTGTGGTAGTTTGAATGTAATTGGTCCCATAAGTTCATGACACTATGATGAGATGTAGCTTTGTTGAAGGAAACATGTCACTGTGGGGGTGGGCTTTGAGGTTTCTTATGCTCAAGATACCCCCCAGTGTCACAGTCTACTTCCTGTTGCCTTCCTGATCAAGTTGTAGCCAGTATCATGTCTACCTGCATGCCACCTTGCTCCCTGCCGTGATGATAAGGGACTGAACCTCTGAAACTGTAAGCCAACCCCAGTTAAATGTTTTCCTTTGTAAGAGCTGCTGCGGTCATGGTGTCTCTTCACAGCAAGAAAACTCTAAGATATTTCCTTTCTTTTGTGTGATTCTATGTGAGTGTGCGTACACACGTGTTGTAAAACAACCTGAGACATGCCTCCTCAGGCCCTAGTTACCTTTGTTTAATACATGATCTCTCTTGGCCTGGAATTCACCAGTTAGACCAGGCTGGCTGGGCCAATGAGCTTCAAGTATTCACCCATCTGTGTTTCTCCAGCACTGGGATTATAAGCATGTGCCGTCACTCTGGGTTGTTTTGTTTTGTCTTGACATATAGATCAAAACCAGTTCTCATGGTGCAAGCAAACTCTTTCCTGCCTGGCTTCATTCTCTAACATTTCTAACATGGCAAGCTAGGCGTCAGTGAAAAGCTCCAGCATCCACCATCATCACGAGTGTTCGTCGGTGTCCGACTTAGCTGAGGTTTGTTCTCAGGTGCTATTGGGGCATTGGTGCTGTGTTTCAGAAGATGCACTTCCTCCAGTGCACTCCACTGTGTCCCCTTCAGCCTCCCTCTACGTCCATCCTACTGTCTCGCTTTTGATCTTTGTGCTGTTATGAGTCTTTCTCAGAAACGATCAAGATGTGTGTCAGGATAAAATAATAATAATAATAATAACAATAATAATAATTAATAATAATAATAAAAACTTTAGGCAAAAAGTAGATCCTGGGAGGATGAGAAACGGAGAGATCTGCTGAGAATTAGAATCCTGGGCACTGGTCAGTCAGTGTTCCTGCCCGGGAACCAAGCAGGGTTCAAACTTAACCTCCCCACTGTGATCCAAGGAAGTAGATCCGGAAAGTGGTGAC